CGACAAATGGTGGATTGATAAGAAGTTAATTAAGTTATAATTCAGATCAAATGACCCGCACATAGTTGCTCCAACCAATGGCTTAAAGTCACGTTTCACCAGCCAATTTTAACACAAATTGGGAAGTGATTTTTCAGTTTGAACCGAACAATAGTGATCAAATCCAATTCCTTTAGGAAGAGGTAGCAATAATTCTTTTCTTAGATATTCAAATGACTTGAATCTTCCAGCAAGTCTGGCCATTTTGGACGAGAACAATACCTGCGTTTTCGAAACAGACCAGCAAAACAGTTGAGTAAAAAAGCATTTGATCATTGGAATGTCTCACAATTACAAAAAGTTTTTCCCCTGAAAAAAGACAATATAACGATCCAAGAGCTTCTCTTTTTATTCGCAGTAGCATGCAAGTTGACAGAATCAATTTGCGTCATCACAGCATTTCATAATGTCTCAAGCAATTGCAATAGGGAAACATTTTTTAAGCATCAGTTGAAATGCCGCAGCTGACTTTTGCACAAACAACTGATGAAACTTTGACTCATGATGAACAATACTAACAATGATAAGAAAAATTCAGTAAAACTGACGGGATATAGGGCACAACCAAAATCAGGTCGACTACTATGTTCATGACAAACAAACTTTTCGCAACCGTTATTTCGGATCTGTAGACCTGGAGCAGAATGAATTATCTGATGAAAAAGAACCTGATACCTTCTTTGACAACTCACCTGTGAAACCTGTACAGTTAGAGCCCCACTCTTGTGAACCGTGCAGCAGCAACACTATTTTGACATTGTTCATCCAGGTTATACGTCCTGCCGAGAATGAAGAGGAAAAAGAAACAGCTTGGTTGTGTTTCAGTGATCTTATCATCTCTATTAGGTGATGAATATTGTGTGGTCAGCAGTCAAAATTGCAAACTTTTGAACTAAATAAAAATTTGCATATTCTGATCAACAGTGCAGTTCACCGGTACACGATCAAAATAAAAAGCTTCAGCTGAACTCATGCTTCCAAACGACATGCTTCCACCCAGAGGTTTCGAAAAAGTCAACCCCAGAGAACTAGAAGATAAACTTACTCTCAAAATATAAAAAAGACGAATTGTTTCAAACGAACCAGCATGATTCAACAAAGGTTTCTGAGAAAACAAAATAGTCCCCAAAATCAACGAGTTATATAAACACGAAGACTAAATTGGCGAGATGAAAATTCTAAATCGTGTTTTCCGATGACTAAAGCAGTCGTCGTTATGCGTATAAATATTTTTGAACCGACAAAGTTAAAAGAACAGTAAAAACAAAGGAAACTAACAAAACAGTTAGCAAGTATTACTGAAACAAACAACGTCATCCAAAAAATAAACACTTTTGACAAAACGGAAATATCTGAACTGATCTTTCGACGACCCAAGCAGCGACACTGTCCACTTTCAAAAAACAGAACAAACTGACAGAAATGAGTCCTCCGAAAACCGCCAAAAAATTGATGGATAAGTTTTGATGAAAATCCATTTTAGCAAATGAAATAACAAAACAAAACTTTGACGACAAAAGCACTTGCAGAAAAATTTGTTCTGTGATATTATGCAAGAAAAATGCAATAATAACTAAAATTGAAATAATTACCTTCTTAAATAATTGAAAAACGGATGTTTTTAGAAAAATATTGGCATCGTCACGAAGCCAAAGTTCAAGAATTAAAAACTAAAACCGGTATTCCGACGAAGAAAACATTTGCACAAGAATCTACTCGACAACTCAAAATAAAAATTAAACCGTACAA